TGGCACCGGCAGCGGTGACGAGCGCCTGAACAAGGACTTTGAGAGCGAGGAGTGCGTGCTGGACTGGGTGGCCGGGCTGGAGATGCCTCCTGTTGCCCGCAAGGTCGCAGCGGCGGCGTCGGCAGCAGCAGCAGCGCGTGCACCGGGCGTGTCGACCAAGGCGACGGATCTTGGCGGTGTCGGTGCAAACGGTGACGACTCGGCCGTGGCCAACCTCGTCAACGCGCCCCGCACGCGCAAGCCAAAGTCGCTGCTGCTCATCAACGGGCAGAGCATGGAGCAGCAAATCGACTCCATGTTCGAGCAGCTGTTGCGGGACGAGGACGAAGGTGAACGCGGCGATGATCGCAGCAAGTCCCTTGCATCGCGCATTCAGGGCTCGGGCGCAGGTTTCCCACCACCACCACCACCTCCGCCGCCGCCACCAGGGTTTGCCGCGCCACCACCACCGGCGCCGCTTGGCAGCGCACCACCGCCACCGCCCCCGCCCCCGCCCCCGCCACCAGCATTTGGCGGGCCATCCACTGCACCAAACACAGCAGCACCTCCACCGCCGCCTCCACCGCCCCCAGCAGGCCCAGTCACGACATCCGCGACCACAGCTGCGCCACCACCACCGCCACCACCGCCACCGCCGCCACCTGGACCACAAGCAGCAAGCGGGGCGACAACGTCGACAACGAACGATGCGGGCATGCACGCGCTCAAGCAGCAGATTGCAAAGAACAAAGGTGTGCGCTTGTGTGTTTCTGTGGTGTGTGTGCGTGTGTGCGTGCGTGTGTGTGTGTGTGTGTGTGTGTGTGTGTGTGTTTGTCCATCTGTCTGTTTGCGTGATAGTAACGTGTTGCAATCAGTCTGACCGTGTGATCGTCTTTGTAATTCACGCCCCATGATCAACATCGCACTGTCCATGACTCACGCCATCCAACCCAACCCAATATTCCTTCATGTCACACGGCATCTGCAGCGAGACGCAAGTCAAGCCTGGCAAACATTTCAGCGCCGCCGCCGCCACCGTCGCCGCCCGTGACGGGGCCTCGGCAGCAGAAAAAAGCAGGGCGAAGGCCAGCACCGCCACCACCTGCAGGCCCACCCATGCCACCAGCACCACCGCCACCGCCGCCCCCACCACCAGCGGAGTCTGACGCAGCTTCGGCAACAGGCAGCGCATCACCGCGGTCAACACGTGCCGCCGCCGCTGCTGCACCACTTGTCACCACCACCTCGCCCACGACGCCACGGTCGCGCCTGCAAGGTACCGGGTCGACATCAACCCTCGCGTCGGCGTCGCCCAAGAACATGCGGCGTACGGCAAAGCAACGCCGCGGCAGCGGTGACAACGGGGGCGCTGGCGCCTCTGGCAGCAAGACGCGCGATGTGGTGCAGCTGGCACTTGACACGAGCGCGGGGGTGCTGTACGACCCAGCAAGCGCGCCATGGACGCTGATGCTGCGCAAGGAGGTGCTGCTGCCTGGCGACGCGCTGGCAGACCACCCGCTGTCGCAGAACCTGGTGTTCTACCAAGTGGTGCACGACATTGAGAGCGGGCACGCGCGGATCCCCAAGGGAGCGCTGAACGCCGCACGCGAAATGCTGAGCAAGAAGGGCATCACGGGCACAAGCGCCATCAGCGCGGCGGAGGAGGATAAGCAGGAGGTGGTCGCCCTGGCCAAAGGATGGCCGGCGTACTTTGCACGCAACTACGAGGTGCAACTTGAGGCGCAGGAGCCTGACGACAAGTACGTGCTTGCTGTCGGGCACAACGGCGTGACGCTGGTGAAGGAGCACAGACGCATGGTGCAGCAGACGGGCCACTGGGTGACGGACACGGAGAACAAGGAGAACGTGAGCTACGGCAACGTGACTGTGGACGACTGGCGGGTGACGCCGACACAGCTGGTTGCGTCGCTGTCCTCTGTGCGCTACACGTTCACCACCCGCAGCGGCGCCACGATCAAGCAGCTTGTGGAGGCGTTCATCATCGACTCTGGCAAGGACGCCAAGTACGCTGTGGCCATGAAGCCGTACCAGACACGCGATGCGACACTGCTGAGCTTCCCGCGCGACGCCGTTGTCACGCTGGCGCCACGGACGGGCCTGGACCCCGGCTGGCTGTACGGCACGTTTGGCGGGCGCACGGGCGCGTTCCCGCAGAACTACGTTGCGCCGATTGTGGGCGAGCCGACGCAGACGACGATTGAGGCGGCGAAGCGCGCGTTCCAGCTGCGGCAGGGCAGCCGCGCCAACCTCAGCTCAACGCGGCTGCGCTTGTCCAAGCGTGCTGGCTCGAGCAAGGCGCTCACCTCGGCGGGGATGGGCCACGCGCCGGGCAACACGGTGCGCACGCGCGGGGCGGTGCTGGATGACGACGAGCTGCTGTCTGAGCAGCGGTACTCGCTGCTCCAGTTTGCGAAGGAGCATTTCCGCATGGGCCACGACCTGTACGAGATGCAGCGCACAGCGGCCGGGTCTGTGCGCGGGACCGTCAAGCGGGTGGACGACAAGAAGAAGAAGAAGAAGCAGAAGGACAAGGACGGCGGGCTGTCGTGGTCGTGGTCTGAGCTTGCGTCGCTGGTCAAGTTCACCAAGTCGCCCATCCAGGCGTCGCTGCTGAAGCTTGATGACACGGAGAGCTTCCTGAACAAGCTTGCGCTGGACAGCTTCCTCAACATCATGCGCTTTATGGGCGACTACATGGCCAAGGGCAAGACGGAGATGGACGTGATTGAGTTTCTGCTCAAGGTGGCGCAGCAGCACCCGCAGCTGCGTGATGAGATCTACTGCCAGCTGCTGAAGCAGGTGACCAACAACAAGAGCGAGCGCCAGGAGAGCTGTGCGCGCGGGTGGCGGCTGCTCATTGTGCTGACAAGCTACTCCAAGCCCTCGGCGGAGTTTGAGCCGTACCTGCGCAGCTACCTGCAGGCCATTGCCTACAACACGCAGCGCGAGTTCCGTGACGAGGCGTCCATCTGCTTGCAGAACCTCAAGGCGACGCTGCGGTGCGGGGGGCGGCGCAAGCTGCCCAACCGGTTGGAGGTGATGGCGCTGATCCAGGGCAAGTTCAAGAAGATCCAGAAGCTGTACCTGCCTGGCAAGCGCACGAAGAGCATCAAGGTGCACGCGTCGACGGTGGTGAAGGACGTGCTGAAGGAAATGTGCCAGAAGATGGGCACCCCGCACCACGAGGAGTTTGGGCTGTACATCCAGACCAACCCGAACAGGGACGGCGTGCTGCTGAACGAAGACGACTACATCCTGGACATCACCACCATCTTTGAGGAGAAGAGCCTGCCCTTCCGACTGTACCTGAAGAAGCGGCTGTGGTATCACCCGATGCCGCTGACCAACGTCACCTACACCAACATGGTGTTTGCGCAGGTGCTGGAGGACTTTGTGCGCGGGCACCTGCTTGTAGTGTCTGAGCTGTCGCCGGCGACGCTGCACTCTGTGCTGCCGAAGCTGGTTGCGCTGCGGCACTTTGCGGTTGACCCAGACCGCTCGCTGGACCGCCTGCTGTCGACGTACGACCGCTTTGCACCACAGCAGGTGGCGCAGGCGCTGACGCAAGAGGAGTGGAGCTCGGCGCTGACGTCGGCGCACCGCGACTACGAGAAGGTCTCGCCGCACGAGGCCGAGCGCGCGTTTGTTGAGCTTGCGCAGGAGAGCTTTGACCTGTTTGGCTCGCGGTTCTTCTACCTGGACAAGGTGAGCGATCCGCGCATCAAGGGGGCGGCGCGCCTGGCCATCAACAAGAGCGGCATCCGCTTCCTGGACGTGGAGACGAACGAGACGATTCTGGCATACAACTTCAACGAGATTGTGTCCACGCGCAAGCTGGGCTCCAAGGAGACGCGCAAGCACTTCCTGGACTTTAAGCTGGGCAACCTGATGGTGCAGCGTGTGACGCGCTGCGAGACGCGCCAGGGCATTGAGATTCAGTCTGTCATCTCCACATACATCAGCCTCGCCGTTGACCAGCAGCGCGCAAAGGCCTTGCAGAAAACGTAGTCGTGCGGTTTGGGGGTGGGTGGGGTGGGGCTGTATTTGAGAGAGAGAGAGAGAGTGTGTGTGTGTGTGTGTGTGTGTGTGCGTGCGTGCGTGCGTGCGCATATGTGTGTGTCTGTGTGTGTGTTGGCAATTGCTGTTATCTCTGCGTGCGTTTGCGTTTGGCGTGCGAAGCCCTTTTGCCTGCTGTTTGATTTCTGATTCGCACCTTGTAATCTTTCTTCTGTTGCCTGCTGTTTCGTTTTGCATAGAAGCAAACAAGCAACCATACATAAGTTTGGCACCATTGACTGCTGGGTGGGTGGAAATGATGTGAACTTGAAAAAAAAAAGATTGTTTGTGCTTTCCTTTCCATATAATGTGTTTGCCTTGCCATCAAACCATTGCACTGCGCAAACAGAAAGATCAGCAAAGACGTCAATCAAGCAATAAGCAAGATGAAGACGCTACGCTTTGACGCATGACTCCAACCAGTGAGCGAGCAGGGCCTGCAAGCTTCTGCCCAACGAAACTGGACGACCCGAATGCTTGCAGGCAAAGCAAAGCAACACGCGTCGTGCCATTCGTGCCATGACGCCATGCACGGTCATGTCATGCCGTGTGGAAATGACGAGACACTAAATTTTGCGTTCGGGGCAACGACTGTTTTCCCTTCTGAGGACGGAGAAGAACGCAACGAACCACCCAAGATGAAGACACTCACTTGCTCTTGCTTGGCGACGCGGACGAAACATCACCATTCCTCGTTGCTTCATGCCTTGCCCGCTTGCTTGCTTGTTAGGTTGCTGCAGCTTGCTTTCCCTCAGTTGGCCCTTCATCTCCCCCCACGACATCGTTGAGCTTGGACCTGTTCCCCCGACCACCCAGACTTCATTTTCCTCATGTCTTCTTCCTCTGCGTCATCGGAAAGGAAACCCCTCATCATGAGCAGCGCACACCAAGCCTCGTACACTGTCCCAGAGGCCGAAAAGGCCTTGGCCCCGACCACCCCGCCCACCATGAGCGCACAGGGCGAGGTTGAGGAGGTCCCAGGCACAAGCCGCGCAACCATGTCAAAGAAAACCATCTGGCAAGGTGTGTGTTGTGTGTGTTGTGTGTGTGTGTTGTGTGTGAGTGTGCGTGTGTGTGTGTGCGTGCGTGTTGCATCCTCAGTGTCTCTCGGCTTCAGCTCTGCGCGTGTGTGCAAGGCTGTACGTGGCTGTGAGCTTGTGCATCCTACCCCCGGCCAACACACACACACACATACACCTTGAGACGGCCGCCAACTGCCACGCTCAGCTGCCACGTTCACACTCTTCTCACCTTTTGTCACCTGTCTCATGCGTCCTACCGCCTCAAACAAACCACCACATCAGGCGTCCTGACCGCCATCTTGATGGGCTTTGGCTTTGGATATGTGTTTGAGAAGTCACGGGTGTTCGAGCCCGTGAACATTCGTCGCCAGTTCCTCTTTGAGGTGAGCAGCATCATTCCAAGCATGGTGATGATGGTAACTGAGGCATCCCCGCCATGCGTGTGTGTGTGTGTGTGTGTGCATCAACCGCACTTTCACCTTGGAGTGCCCCTTTGCCCACCTCAACTCATCACTGACACCCTGTTTCCATTCTCCCCATCTGCTCCCACCTGCAGCGCTGGCTGATGCTGAAGATGTTCCTGGCTGCCATGGCCGCCAGCGCATCCATGCTTCTGCTCGCATACAAGTTCCACAAGAGCACCTTTGACCACATTCGGTAAGACTGTCAAGCCATCTCAGCTAACGGCGTGGCCCCTCCACCACTGACGTTGACGTTGGCTACCCTTACAAGACTCCCGCCTGCCTTTCATGTTCTCCTCTTACGCTGACTGCTTCCCTTGCTTTCTTTGCTGTTACAGAGACATGTTCCACGGTTGCTACCAGCGTGGCATCATCACTGCTGTCGCCCTCGGCGGTTTCATGCTGTGAGTACACACACATACACACACACACTCTCTCTCTCTGTCTCTCTCTCTCTGTGTCTGTCTCTCTCTCTGTCTCTCTCTCTCTCTCTGTGTTCGTGCATGTGTTTTGACGCCTTGTTTTGTTCAACTATCTTCCCTGCTTGAGCCTCTGTTCCCTCTTCCATCATCTTTACCATCCCGCCATCCACCACAACCCCCACTTTCAGCACGCGAACACTCACCACAAGTTCTCTCTCTCCCTGCAACCACTGTCACCATCGTCAACAGCGGTGCCGGCATGGCCATTGGCGGTGCTTGCCCAGGCATGGTTGCTGCACAGCTTGGTGCTGGTGTCCCGACCGCGTACGCCACGTTCATCGGCGCCTTTGCCGGTGAGTGATGCTTGGGATTTGCGTTGGACGTCGTGTGGCAGCATGCTCAAGTGGCGTGAACAACAGCGGACTGCTACCCTGTCTCGCACGCTTATCTGCCTTCAGCACACACCCTCACACACTCACACACACACATACTGATACGCATACACACACATACTGATACGCATACACACTCTTTCTCTCGCACACACACACACACACTTTCCACGAGCAGGCGCGCTTGCGTATGGATTTCTGGAGCCCGTCATGACAAAGTGGATTGACATTGGCCCCAAGTTCAAGGCGTTCCACCTGGACGAGGTGTCCCCCATCCCATATTGGGTGCTGGCTGTGGGCCAGGTCGCCATGTCTGTCGCCGTCATCATCGTACTCGAGGTGCTGGAGCCATGGGAGGACGAAACAGGATTCCCCAACGAGAAGAAGTAAGTCATGCTCATGCTCATGCTCATGCTCATGCGGTCACGCGTGATGTTGAGTGAGGGGCGCGAACGGCTACGATGTCACGACAGGTGATGCGTCGCCTGTGTTGCACGCACACACATACACACATACGAACAAACAAAGCAGCAAACATACACACACATGCATACACACATGCATACACACATGCATACGCACACACACATGCACCGTCCATTTCCTCACCCCATCCCACCCGCCGTCACCACGCGTGTTCAGGTGCTACGTGTTTGCGTGCAAGAGCTGGCCGCCGTGGGCGAGCGGCATCATTGTCGGTCTTCTTCAGGGTCCCGCCATCCACGTCATTCGCGACACACTCGGGTCGTCCACTGCTTACGGCGCCGTCTGCTCCCTCACAACACACGCCCTCCCAGACGAGCACAGGTGCGGCATCGTGTGTGTGTGTGTGTGTCTATGTGTGTGCGTGTCTGCCTGCTTACTTGCCTGCCTATCAGCCTATTTGCCTGCCTATCAGCCTATTTGCCTGCCTACTTGCCTGCCTTACCTGCCCGCCTACTTGTCTGTCTGTCTGTTACTCGCAACTCGCCTGCGTCTTTCCTCACTCACCAACCTTCTCCTCCCCCCCCCGCCCCAATCACCATTCTTTCCCTTCATGTTGCGACAGGGAGAAGCACTTTTCGCGCTTTGCCAGCATGCGCATTGGCTGGGGCAACTGGTGGCAAGTCATCTACCTCGCCGCCGCCATCATTGGTGCCCTCGTCTCTGCCGTCAGCTCGGGCGTGCTTGGTGATGTGCACGGCATCCATCCTGCCGCAGGCTTTATCGGCGGCTTCCTCATGCTGTTTGGCTCCCGTCTTGCTGGCGGCTGCACCTCTGGACACGGCATCTCAGGTGTGTGCATGTGTGTCTGTGCCTGTGTTTGAGTGCATGTGTGCATATGTTCGCCCACACACTTTACAATTGCATGAGTGTCGCTTGTCCAGCAACTTGCTTACTGACACACGCACCATCATTCCCTCACCCTCCATTTCCACCGCTTCGCTCTTGCCATGTGTGCGTCTTTCTTCAGGCTTCACCCTCGGCAATCTTGCGTCATTCGTTGCCGTCCCCTTTATGTTTGCCGGTGGCATCGCTGCAGCGTTCATCTTCCAGGCCGCAGACCCACAATACCCGCTCTAGGCCCTTGACATTACGATGACAGTGGTGGTGGTGGTGGTGATGGTGATGGCGGTGGTGGTGTACACATGCTGGACGTGAATGAGCTGTCGCTTTGTGGAGTTGTGACTTCTTGCTTGCTTGCATGCAGTCTTTGACACTCCATGCGTGTTTGTGGAAGGGAGCTTGGGGAGGTGTGAGGAAAAGAGGTGCAATGAGGTGTGAACGAACGAACATGGTGACTGGGGTGTGACGCTTTATTGTCATCAAAGATTTAAAGAGCAGAATGATTCAAATAAGAAGGGAATGAAATGAACAAAGACACAGTGTAACACAAGTAACGATGTGCTTATATGTATGTGTCTGAGCGTAGCTGGGGTCCTGCCACCGTCTCTGGCTGTTTGTGCGTGTGACTGCACATCTGGTCTACGCAAACGTGAACCCTTGAGCGCCGAAACGCACGGCGACGAGGAGGCGATCGCGCAGCTGTTGGAAGTTTGAATATGGCGGCAGAACCAACAAGTTGAAACACGTGGACGCCGTGGGCAGGCGGCTCGTGTCTGCTTGGCGCAAGACATGTGTGTGTGTGTGTGTGCGTGTGTGCGTGCGTGTGTGTGTGAAGGAAAGCGGGAGCACATGGTGTGCGGTGTGATGCTCGGTGAATCGTCCTTTGCTGGAACAAGGCAGCCTCAAATTAATCCAAACCATCGCACGCACACACATGCACACACACACACACACACATGCACACACACACACACACGCACGCACGCACCTTGGCCCATGGCGATGGTGAATGGTGTTGGTCCCGAAAGGCCTTGAAGACTCGCAAATCCGCCAGGAGGTAGTCTGACCAATACAATCACGACAATAACAGCATGAATCTTATCAGATACACACACACACACACGCACACACACACGCACACGCACACACACACACACACACACACACACACACACACACACACACACACACACGCACGCACGCACGCACGCACGCACGCGCACGTACACACACACACGCGCGCGCACGCACGCACATACACACAGAGGTGCTTGCGCCGAGACGCACATGGCTGAACCCGTAACGAATTGGAGGAAAAGACTGCGCTCCTTGTGCGACATCGCAGCGACAACCTGCCACAGCCATTGTATCGGCTGTTGTGGCAGCACAGCGCACATAGCATCAAAAAGCGTGAGCAAATGGAGGAGATGATGATGATGATGATGATGATGATGATGATGATGATGATGATGATGATGATGATGATGATGATGATGATGATGATGATGATGATGATGATGATGATGATGATGATGATGATGATGATGATGATGATGATGATGATGATGATGCGAGCAGCATTGGGGTGTGAGCAGCGCAAGGCCAAATCAACAGGCCACCAAGGCAGGTTCACAACACACACGCACACACGCATACTGCACAACTCCACCATCCACATACACGCGTACACACACACACACAGAATCACAGAATCACAACATGAGGCGATACGTACGGGCGCCGACGCCTTGTAACCGCCTGTGTAGCGCGTGTGTGCTCGCCACTCGCACACGTCCAACAGTTCCTGTCCACACAGGAGAAGAAGGAACTCCTGCGGCTGAAACGGCGACAAGAGGTGACGCGGGACCACGCTGAACAGACCCCTCCGCAGCGCAGCAACCTTGCGTTGCGCCATGATGGGCGTTTAAGACGGAAGGCGTGTGCATGCATGTGTGTGTGAGCGTGTGTGTGAGCATGATGGTGCGATGAAAACTTCACGTCACAATCACAGAGTAGCCCCCCCCCGCCCGCTAAAACAGCATAATTAGACACACCTCCTTCTCAAACGAGGTGCACGCAATGAATTGCGTCATGTCGTCGACAAACTGGCGTTTGTTCGCGTCCGTGACCGGTGCATTCTTGTCAATGTCCTGTTGCGGTGTGAGCGCGTCGCATCAGGTGATGGCGAGTGAGTGGTTGAAGGTGTTGACCCCGGAAGCAACGCCACAAGCCAACAAAACGTCTGCAACCACTTGCATGAATACATGCTCACGAAAGCAAAACACACACAAACAAACAAACAAACAAACAAACAAACAAAACAAAACAAACAAACAAAACAAAACAAACAAACAAACAAACAAACAAACAAACAAACAAACAAACAAACAAACAAAACAAACAAACAAAACAAAACAAACAAACAAACAAACAAACAAACAAACAAACAAACAAAACAAACAAACACGCACACAAACAAACAAACAAACATACAAACAAACAAACAACAAACAAACGTGATTCCAAGCAACCAAATACATCACGCCCACACCTGCCGCAGGGCAACGGTGATGTGCGAGCCATCACGTGCAACGACGTCGTGCGAGTACGAGAGCTCCAACCCAGCGCCATCAATGTCGTTGTCGAGGATCCACTGCAGACTCGAAACCATGGTCGGATCAATGTCTTGCAGATCATCGGGGAAACGCGGCGTGCACTCCTCCAATAACAGCGCAGCGATGAACCTGAATAGCAAACACGCGTGAGTGCATGTGCGTGGGTGTGAGTTTGCGTGTGTTTGAATGGTTGCATGCGCGTGAGTATGTTTGCGTGTGTTCGTGTGCAAATGTAAGAAAAACAACCACCCACCCTTCCATCCGCGTTATCCTTCGCGAACACAAACCCTTCTACAACGATCACCATGACCATCGCCACCGTCGCCGCCCGACCTTGGCATGGGGAGCCTGAGGTACAGTCCCCGAGTGATTGCGACGCCCATCAGTCGACCGACAAACTCCAGCTGCGCCGCCTTGTGCTCCACGCCAGCTCTGAGCGAACACGAAATAAAATGACACAAATGAGAAGATGGATGTGCAAGCAGCAACATGGATCGCTGGCTTCCGTGCCTGCCGTAGAGGCAAAGGCGGTTCATGCATCCCCTTGACCCCTTCGAAAACACTCACCCCCACACACCACACCCCCACACACGCCACACGCAGCATACCCGACACCCTCCCCTCGATACGTACGGCTGGGCGCCTGGGTTTCCCTGTGTGTCGAAGCACTCCTGCGGAACAACCAGCCCTTTGCTCTCGTTGCACGTGCGAAACAGATGGCGACTGTCGTCTACAATGCTTCCGCCCAGCGCGCTGAACGCTTCCCGGAGCGGTCCAAGCAGAATGCCTGCAAGCAACGGACAGAAGCGTTGTGGTAGGAATGTTGGTGCTGAGAGTGAGTCCATGCGCTCCTTGCTTGGGCACGACCACGTGTGGCAACTTTATCCACGCACTCATGGACAGGTGCAAGCACACACGCACACACACATACATGTACACACGCTCTCTCTCTCTGTCTCTCTCTCTCTCTGTCTCTCTCTCTCTGTCTCTCTGTCTGTCTCTCTGTCTCTGTCTTTCGCACACGCATACACACACACAGTCTCTTATACTGACCGCTTTCGCTGGCGAAACTGATGCTCAAGTCCATGCAGAGGAGCTGATCGCCACTCAAATCACCGAGACACTGATGGTCGCGATGATGATCACGATGATGGAGTGGTGGTGGTTTGGACGGAGTGGCATGGGGGAGGGCATGTGTGAGCAAGATGAGGAAAAAGGGAAGTCGCGTCTTTTCACGCACGCACGCACGCACACACACACACACACACACACACACACACACACACACACACACACACACGCACCGCCCAAAAGCTGAGGAAGACGTCCTCTCGGGAGATTTCGCAGGAAACGGAAGACGCATATGCACGGAGGTCAAGGCGAAGCTGTGACAGCTTTCGGTTGAGCCACTTGAGCTTGTTGTCCAGCGTGAGCAGGCCTGTACAACGCGCGCGCATTGGTGGGGCAAGGTAGGCTGAGGCGTGGTGGGGGCTGATGTATCTATTTCAACGGCCACAACAATGTCATTTGACAACAGCCAGCAACACAATCGCAGCGCAACTGCACCACATGCACTCGTTTATTGAGGTGTGGACACAGTTAGGACATGCGTTCGTTCTTGCATACCCTTTTGTCGGAGAAACAGCTCCAAACTCTCATCCAAGAGGTGGATGTTTTCGCCGATAAACTGATTGACGTATTGATAGTACTCATCCTGCAAATTGAGCAGTATTTGAATGTATTTGTGTGTGTGTGCGTGTGTGCGTGTGTGCGTGTGTGTGTGTGTGTGTGTGTGTGTGTGTGTGTGTGTGTGTGTGTGTGTGTGTGTGTGTGTGAGTAAGGACGACAAATCTTGTTGATGTCTGCCTTTTCATTGATGCTTGCAGGCAAAGGTACTCACCTGCGTTGCGATTGCGGTGACGATGGACGCGACCCGCTCCTCAATTCGTCGCCGTCCCGCCTTGGCATCAATGACACATCAAACAGGCAATGACGAGTTATGAAAGGAGGTTAGGTGCGACATGAATGCGCGCACGCACACACATGTACTTGCAAACGTGTTGACAAGAGCGTGGTTCAAGCACCCTCAGAAACGAAGCAAAACAAGCAAAACAAGAAAAGCAACACACACGTGCACATCTACGGCCATGCGCTCTCTCGCGCCACCCTCAGATCTCACCGCGTCTGTCTTTCGGAGCAAGTTGGCAAGAATGGCGAGCTGCGTTGGCTTTGGACGCATCAGCGCCATCACACATTCAAATTTCGCGGCAAAGTCCGCATACATCAACGGCGGCCACCCAGAGTTCTGCGTGTGTGTGTGTGTGTGTGTGTGTGTGTGTGTGTGTGTGTGTGTGTGTGTGTGTGTGTGTGTGTGTGTGTGTGTGTGTGTGTGTGTGTGTGTGCGTGTGTGTGTGTGTGTGTGTGCGTGTGTGTGTGCGTGTGTGTGTGTGTGTGTGTGGAAATAAGCAGCAGCTCCAATGGAAAGCACCTGCCCACCACCACAACCACCACATCCTCACCCCCAAATCATAACCCTTCCCCTCCCCTCCCTCGTCGCTCCTCCGGCCACAGCCACGGCTTACGTCTGTGCAGTCAACACGATGCCCGTGGCGAATGAGCAGCTGCACACATGCGGTGTGCCCGCCGAGTGCCGCCAGATGCAAAGCCGTGCTGCCCTCACGATCGCGCCACTCCACAGGCGTGCCCATCCTGAGTAGCACCTGCAGTGCCTCCGCTTTGCCGCTGTTGGCCGCGTGCATCATGGGGGTCCACCCGTTCTCGTCCGTCTTGTTGAGAAAGTGCGATGGCAGCGATTGGATGCAGATCCGAACACACGCGGGTGATCCTGAACACGCGTGCATGGTTGTGGCATGTTTGTGGCATGTTTGTGGCATGGCCATGTTTGTGGCATGTTTGTGCGCGCGTGTGTGTTGAGCTCGTGGCGCTGGCATGACATTCCCTTTCTCAACCCTAAAAAATCATCACACAAAAAAACACAAACCAACCACAATCCACGCAAAACACAAGCAAACAAGCTCAACCCCGCCCCCAATTCCATACACCGGGCAGCACGCTACGCACCGCCTTCTGCTGCAAGGTGCAGGAGTGTTGCGCTCGTGTTGTCCATGACGTCAGCAGGTGATGGCTCCAGTGCCAGAAGTTTCTTCAGACAGGCCGGGGAACCATGCAGCGCCGCCACCATCAGCGGCGTGCAGTCCTGAGCAGGCAGTGACGACGGTGAACACAATGCGGTGGTGTTGGCGGTGGCTGTCACATGAGCACTCGTGAGCAGTGTTCAACAAGAAGGACCTGCCTCACCCTCGAAACCACACCAATCACCATCATGATCACCAACATGCATGATCACAATGTGCGTATGTGTGTGTGTGTGTGTGCGTACATCGACATCTCTGGCGGTGATTTGATTCCTGACGTCGGCGCCGTTGAAGAGAAGATCAAGACATCGCGGGCTCGCATGGCCTGTGTGTGTGTGTGTGTGTGTGTGTGTGTGTGTGTGTGTGTGTGTGTGTGTGTGTGTGTGTGTGTGTGTGTTGTGTGCTAAATTGTGGCCCTGCCTCAAGCACTGCTCAAGCGCACAACTCTCGCACTAGCACAGCACCCAGTGCGACCACAGCACCGTACCAGCTGCGAGGTGGAGGAGCGCTTCATTTCGGTTCGTTCGCTGATCGATATCGCTGCAGAGCAAACAGACAGACAAAGCATCATGGCACTCGCGTTAACACACACACACACACAACCATCAATATGTGCATCCCCACCATTCCAGGCAACCCCACTCCCAATATGAGCCCCTCAAACTGTTGCCATGTGCACGTGTCACACTGGTGCGTCATCATACGCTGTGAGTGGGAGGAGGAGGGCTGCGGTGTCTGCGTAACCGTTCATAATCGCGAGCGACAGCGCCGAGTGGTTTGACAGGTCGACACGTGTTGGATCGGCCTTGCACGGGTATGACAGGATGTTGGAGGGTTGAGGTGGTGGTAACGAGGATGGTGTTGTCGAGGTGATGGCGACGTGAACCCGAAAACTGAATCGAGAAGGGGCAAAGCACGAAACCATCACCGCACACACACACACACACACACACACACACACACACACACACACACGCAAGAATACACAGCTACATACACACATACACATGAGCATACAAAGAGACGTCCATTCATGCGTGCAAGCGTGCGGTTCGTACATCGTAGTCGAGGAGGACTGTGATGACGTCAGCAAACCCATTCTCAGCCGCAACAAGCAACGGCGTTTTGGTGTTGTTCGACACGTCCATGGAATCCACATCCACCCCTGCTCAAACAAACGTTCGATGGGGAGAGGTGGTGGTTGGGTGAGTTTCAAAAGCAAGAAAGAGGCTGCACACTCACGCACACCCAAACATACACTCAAACAAAAAACAAACAAACAAACCCATCAGCACACACCTGCGTCCAGGATGGCGGTCAGCGCGAGAATGTCACGCTCACGAACAGCGGCGAACAAATCCAGCGCCGTGTACGCGCGTGTGGTGGTGCTCGTGCTTGATGAATTTGCTGGTGCTGATGCTGCTGTCGCCGTTACTCCTGTTGCTGATGATGGTGTTGCTGTGGGACATCTCGCTTGTGCGCTGCTGCTTCCTCCGTCGTCGCCTTCATCTTCGCTGTCGCTCTCAATGAGAACCGTTTTCTTCCTCCTCCGCTGCGCGAAGGATGATGGGATTGCCAACTTTGTGCCCTGAAACAGGCAGAATCCAGTGGTGAACACTTGACAGAGTAAGCGCATGTTTTGTGCGGGTGGGTGTCCGTGGGAGGAGGAGTGTGTGTGTGTGTGTGTCTGTGTGTGTGTGTGTGTTTGTGTCTGTCTGTCTGTGTGTGTGTGTGTGTTTGTGTCTGTCTGTCTGTGTGTGTGTGTCTGTGTGTGTATGTCTGTGTCTGTGTCTGTGTGTCTGTGTGTGTCTGTGTTTGCAGGCGGATGCACGGAGGGAGAAATATGAGCAAGTTCAACCGCCAACATCATTAAATGTGCATGTGTGTGTGTGCATGTGTAATCTCACCAGCAGCTGCTCTGCGCGAGCGAGGCACTGGTGGCAGAGATGGCGTGAGGGCACGTCGACTTTCGTCTGCACACGAGGAGGTGAAACGCCAGCATGGTGATGGTGAAGGAGCCGCAGGCAAATCACAGCACATGCTCACCCACTCAGGCACTCAGATTAAACACTCACACACGCTCACCCACTCAGGTACTCAGATTAAACACTCACACATGCTCACCCACTCAAACACGCAAACAAAACACTCAACATCATACCCACAAACAAACAAAAATATGCACACAGCCACAAGCGCTGTCAACGAGTCACACCTTGTAACCAAAGCAGGCCGCGTGCTGCCAGCGTCCGCAGAGTTCGGAGGAGCACTGGACCCAAAGTCCATCATAATTCCCCCGCGTCGTCGCACCGCACACACAGCTGACCGGCGCGATACAAAACGTTGGTGGTGTATGTATGATGCGTTGAGTTGAATGGAGAAGCAGGATGATTGGCTGCATGCTTTAAGAAGTGTGTGGGCACACACACACACGCACACACAATACACAAACATATGTGTGCACATACAGGCCTTCCACACCACACCGCAAATACACACAAAGCACATACACACACCACACATACACATAAACATCACACGCACTTGACGTCGTCGTGTTCCACGCTGTCAACGATGAAATCATCATCATCATCATCATCATCATCGTCATCGTCAGCATTAGTGGCAGCAGGGGTGGTGTCGAGAGCTGTGTCCATCATGGTCGTCGACGTCAACCCATCAACCCCACTTCTTCTTCTTCTTCGTCTGCCCGGTGCTGCTGATGCAGTTGCTGTGATTGCCCGCACGCCACCACGTGCACCACCAACACCCGCGCCAACACCACCAACACCCGCGCCAACACCACCAACAGCAGCGCCAACACCACCAACAGCAGCGCCAACAGCATCGTCATTCTCATCATCGTCATCATCATCAGGCGCTGCAATGATCCTGCGGCGCGTGCGAGAGGAGCGATGATGGGCAGTAGACGACAACGACTGAGGCACAACAACACGGCCCACACCATGTGCATCCGCAACTGCACGGCCGCTTGCATGTGGTTGAGTAGCAACTGGCGTCGTTGCACCACCAACGACAACACCGTCACCGGCTTGGTCGCCCCCATCATCGCTGTTGAGCATGATATCCCGCCCTTGCCGCGTCAGCAGCTGTCAATGCGTACACATGTGTGCAATGGAACGTGGCGAAATGAGGGAAACATGAGCATTGGAGGGAGAGCGAAGACCAACTCGAGTGGCAACGGCGCCCTGCACACAAGCACGCGCAATGCTCTGCACACAGACACGTGCGAACACATGGGTACATACACGCACGCATGTACGCGCACATACATACGCACTCAGTACAGGACGGCACAATACAACACAGTCCGACATCCCCTTGGTGCAGCAGCTGCTCACCATCTTTGCGCGCTTCCTTGCGCGTTCGTTCTCATTTCGCCGCCGCTGAAGGCGCTGGCTCCTCGGCGTCCACACAACACCACATGCACCACCATCACTATCACCAACAGCGTCGCTACCATCGCTGCCACCAACACCGTCACCTTCGTCATTACTACCAACACCATCATCACCGTCAACAGTTCCACGTCCATCATTGCTTCCATCGTCATGGTGCCTGTCATGCTCCCTGCTGTTTTGCTGCTGTGCCTCGTCATCATCACTGCCACTACTGCTGCTACTTGTAATGATGCGCAGGTTTCTGCCGGGTGTCGACTGCTCCTGCGTGCTCGCGTGTGTGGCGCGTGCGTGCTGCCGTCGTGTGAGCGTTTCTCCCTGTCCTGTGCGCGTTTTCGCTCTTGCTCGCTGCTTGCGTCGCCGACGCTGCTGCTGTTGCAGTCTCGTTCTCCTGTCACCGCCACCTTCTTCATCACTGCTGCTACCGTCCGTCTGAACGTAGCGCTGTGCTGCTCTGTTGCCACGCAAACCATCATCATCAGCACCACCATCGTCGCCACTACCCCTGTCACTTCCGCTTCTTGCACCATCGTGGGCATCACTTGCAGTGTCTTCGTCGTCTTCTTCATCGACGATGAAAGAATCGAGGGAGGATGTCTCGTCCAGGTGCTGATATGTGTCCTTGTTGTATGCGTTGAATCTGGAACAGGAGGCACCATTTGCCAGCCAAACAAGGTGCGGACATGTGTGAGACATTGCCTGTCTTCACATGCCAGGCATATGTTTCCAGCCAGCACACACACACACACATGCACACAAGCGCACTTGCAGACGCAAGTGGCATTCACACAGCACACATGCCAATACATTCCTCTCTGCATCCCTCTCTGCATCCCTCTCTGCAACGCCCCTACCACTGCAAGCAGCGTTGACCACTCACACAGTGATGAAGTTGTTGGTTCTGCGGAGCCCCGTGGCCTCGCGCTGCCCAAACCGGCGGCTGTAGCCCGTGGCCAGGGTGCGGCGTGTGCGACACGACGTGCGGTGCTGCGATTGGCGAGGAGGGGGAGGCGACGGTGATGGTGACACAGCCACGTGCCTTGAAGGCGTGGAGGGTGATGCTGGCGCAGCTGCTGTCGTGTCAACGGATGCGGATGCCGTTGTGGTGGCGTGACCAGCTGGGGACGCAGTGGCATCGTTGTCGTCTTCCACACTCACGTCTTGTGCCCACCGTAACACACGGTCCGAGACGGTTGTATTGGACGGGGTGCAAGGTAGAGACTTGGAGGAGAGGGTTGCCGGTGCTGAGGCCTCATCATCATCATCATCATCATCATCGCTGTTGTCCGCCTGTGGCTTCTGCTGACGCCTGCCCTCGCCGCCATTGCCAGCCTTGCTATGGTGGTTATTGTGGCGGTTGTTGTGGTGGTTGCTGTGGTGGTTGCTGTGGTGGTGGTCGCTGTCATCGTCCTCGATGTTGTCGTCATCGACGCCGTCGCCGGCAGTGGTGACAATCAGTGACCTGCGTGTACTTCTGAGCTTGCGTCGCCACATGTCCCGCTTCTCGTCTGTCTTGGCCTGCAAGCGCTGCGACCGTCGTCTGTGTGTGTGTGTGTGTGTGTGTGTGTGTGTGTGTGTGTGTGTGCGCGCGTGTGTGTGCGTGTGTGTGTGTGCGTGGGAAACGGAGGTGAAAGACAAGCATTGGTACCAACAGCAGGAAGCGTGAGTAAAGCCGTCACGCCATACAACAGCAAGCTTAAACACAGCGCAACGCAGAGCCATACACCCATACATACATGAATGCACGCAGGCTTGCACACACACACACAACATGCGCAAGTGTATACATCACACACACACACACACACACACCTTGGTGTATGTGCTTCCCGTTGTGACCGAATGACAATTCGTCCTTCCCCTGCGCTTCCTTCATCACCGTCGTCGTCGTCATCACTGCTCGTGTCGTCATGCAAGGCAGCAGAGTGCGTTGTAGCTAGGTGCTGCTTTGTTTCGCCACTTTGCTCGCTGTCACGCCCTTCCTCCTCTTCCTCCTCTTCCTCCTCGTCCTCCTCTTCCTCCTCGTCCTCCTCGTCCTCCTCATCCAGCACGAGCAGCCTTCGCCTTGCAGGCGACTTGGCCAGTTGCTGCGTCACGTTCACCCCAATGTCGTCATCGTCCTCCTCCTCCTCTTCTTCTTCCTTCTTCTCGTTCCCACCACCACCATCACCATCACGCGCAGCAGTGCGCGTTCGCCTTCGCCTTCTTGTCATCATCGTTGCTGTTGGTTTTGTTTGGTTGTGCGCGAATTTCGAAGATTTGGCGCGCCAATGTTGTTGACTTTCCTTGCCTTGCTTTGCTTGCTTGTTGCTTGCTTCTTCTTGACTTGCTTGCTCTTGAGACTTACATGGTTGATTATGTTATTGCCTGAAACCTCATTTGAATCACACCACGCTCCATCGCTGCCCCCCCCCCACCTCACAACAACCTGAAAACAGCAAGCAAGTCAACAACGACACCCATCACTGCTGTGGACGGGCTGCGAGCTGCGTGAGAATGGCCTGCAGCTGCTCATGCTGGCGATCTAATTTGGCCTCCAATCGCACCATCCGATCTTCCAACGCCTGCTGCTGCTGCTGCTGCTGTCTTCTTGTGCCACCACCACCCGTATCATCACTGCTGCCAGCAGTACCATGTCTTCCGCTACTGTCCCCGACGCCAAGCGTGGCCATGGCGGTGTCTGTTGTTTCCCTTCTTGCCGATGGTTCCAGCCACGTCCGCTCCCGATGCGAAAAGTCCACGGGAGCACTCACAGACACGTGCCCACCCCAAGCGCCGCCACCACCGCCATCACAGTTGTCACTGCTGTGCGACTGCTGTGATTGCTGCTGTGGCTGGTAGTTCATGCTTGTTGATCTCTGTGCTGCGTTCTGCTTCATCTGCTGCTGCACGCCGTCCAGCTTTGCCGAGAGCGCATCGATACCCGATCGCAACACATGCAAGACGCCGAGCCACTGCTCCGTTGCCGGTGGGCGCCCAACACCGCCGCCCTTTGGCACCAGCACGTGCAGCCACTTGGGGAAGATGCGGGGGTCTTTCTTCTTCGCCTCGCTCATGAACGCCTCCTGCTCCCGCAAGATGCGTGCGCGCAGCAGCTGGAACTCAATGTCTGCGCGGTCCTGGATGCGCTCGTACGAGTCCGACATGAGCGCAATCAGCAGGTTCAGCAGCACAACGGGCACGAGGATCATGGAAAGGAGGAAGATGATGCGGACAAGCACGACGTACTCGCCGCCAAGCGTGGCAATGTCAAAGTCCACCAGCAACAGCATGTTGAACATGACAAGTAGACCGTTGGCCGGGTCGCCAAGCGCCTCATCGTAACCCGCGGTGCCTTGTATCAGCAGGACGCGAAAGGCGACCCACGCAGCCATGATGCTGATGCCAAGCAGCATGAGGAAGAAACGCATGTCAAAGCAGATGACCAGCACCATGCGGACAAGCGGGCCGGTTCGCTGTTGGGGAGAGGGGGGTGGAGGAATGAAAGCAAGAAGGGAAGAAGGATACAAAGCAAGTGGGGCAGGTGCCATGTGAGTTCACAGACAACCAATAAAACCAATGCGCCCAACGTCAACGTTTGTGTCTCACAATCATCACCCCATACGCTTGTGCGAGGCAAACTATCATCATCCACACCCATTCACATTCACACACACACGCACGCACGCACAAACACGCACACACACGCACGCACACGCACACACACGCACGCACACGTACGCACACACACACACACACAAACACGTGCACACACACACGCACACACACACACACACACACACCAACCTTGAACGCCTGCATGTAGTAGAGGGATCCAAACCACCGCAAGTACACGGACACGGCCAGCAGGGCGCGCGTGTGCTGCCACCCGCTCATGTACGTGATGCCAACGACAAACACCAACATGATGTTGCACGCATCCAGCCAGTTCCAAAAGTCGTGCAAGCGGTCTGGAAGCCTTTTCCACTGCTCCACTTCGCGCGAGAGCTCGGCGGTGGACACACCCAGCATGAACAGCAGCACCACCACAGACGCAACGTCGCTCCCGCTCTTGGACGTCAGCAGCGTGTGCACGGCCTTGCCCTCCAGGTTAATTAGGAACGCAAACGTGGTGACCAGCAGCAGCGACAGCAGATAGAACAGCCCACCGCGCTGGAACGTGCGACGCCCGTAACACTCCCACTTGAAGCGGACAATGGCACGGGCAATGTAGTTGTTGAACAGCTCTGCTCGCCCCGTCTCCACGAGCGCATCGAGAAAGCTGCGGCCGTCCGGAAGAAAGCCGCCAGCGTACGGCACGGGCACAACCCGCGCCTCCGTGACAACGGCGCGCGCGGAGGGCTTCTCCAGCTTGCGCATGACACCGCGCTGCTTGAGACGGTGCCACAGGTCGTGCTGCTGGGGCAGGTGGTGGCCGGCGACAATCATCTCGGGACCAGGCAGCCGCGTGTGCTGCTGCGAGAACCCGCTGTCCGTGTTGGCGCGAACGAGGCCAAGATTGTCCAGGAAGTCGGCAGCGACACCCGGGTACTGCTCCACGCACGAGATGATGTCCTCTGTAAACGACTCGTCCAGCGAGCTCACGGAGAGGCGCCAAGCGGACGGGAGTTCCGGTCGCTCCACCCCTTCGTCCTGCGCACGCGCCGCCTGCACAATCTTGGTGGTCACAGCCCGCACCACCTCCTCGTCCTTGGCCTCGAAGATTGCCTGGCGAAGCAGCGACGGCCGCGCGCCAATGTCAAACAGCGGGAGGTTTGGCGTGGCGAACAGCGCGTGCAATATGTCGAGGCGGCTGCTGCTGCCGGCCGCCCACCCGAGCGGCGTGTGCGCCATGTCGGGCATGTGGAAGGTGAGCGTGAGCGGGAAGCGGTGGAGGGCCGTGCGAATCGCCCGCATGCGCTGCGCGGCGTCGGCGTGAAAGCGGTCATACTGGATGGTGCCCTCAATGGCAAACGTCGGGAAGTGGGGCAGACCAAAGAAGCTGTGCGGTGCAAGCAGCGACGCCACGGGCCACACGCGCACAGAGATGTCCTTGCTGCCGGAGTAGAGAAACCGCCCGTCGTTGCTGACGACAACGGCGGTGACGGGCGCCGTGTGCCCGCCAAGCGCGGCCACGCACGTGCGCGTCTCGAGCGACCAGATGATGAGCGAGCCATCGTGGGAGCCCGAGACGAGGTGCGTGTGCCCGTCAGCGTCCTGCGACAGCACCAGGCAGTTGACATAGTCCGTGTGCCCGCGTAACACAGCCGCGCACTTGCGGGTGGTGAGATTCCACACGCGTATCGTGCAGTCGCCACTGCCGGATATGACATGCCCGTCGTTGGTGACGGCGAGCGCGTTGATGCGGGAGTGGTGACCGGGGAGGGATGCAAGGCACACGTGGTTCTGCGCAGACCACAGCCGCACGTGGTTGTTGCTGCTGCCGGAGATGATGGTGGTGTCGTCGCGTGTGACAGCGACGGCGGTCACCTTGCCCTCACGCCCGCCAAGAACAGCAAGGCACTTGCCCGTGTCCAGATCCCACATGCGCAGCGTCTGGTCCCAGCTGCCGGAGACAACCCACTGGCCGCTGTGCGCCGTGGCCAGCGCGCGAACAAAGTGCGTGTGCCCCTTGAGCACCTGCAGGCAGCGACGCGTGTCAAAGTTGAACACGCGCAGTGTGCGGTCACCGCTCGCGCTGACCAACAGCATGTCGCCGCGGGTGAGGGCGAGCGCGTTGACGTAGTCGCTGTGCGCAGCGATGGTGGCAATGCAGTCCCCAGTGGCCGTGTCCCAGATCTTGATCACCGCATCGTGACCCCCCGTGCACAGGAGCGTGCCGTCCGCAGAGACGACGGCGCACTTGGCACACGCGGCATGCCCGTGCCACACAGACACGCGCTCGTCAAGATTGAGGTCCCACACCTTGGCGGTGCGATCTCGGCTGGCAGAGACAATGTGCGAGTCGTCTGGCGCCAGCTTGAGCGCAGACACGTTGCGCGCGTGCGCCTGGAAGGTGGCAAGGCAGTCGTGCGTCTCGAGAATGTAGATCTTGATGATGCCGTTCCACGCACCCGAGACGAGGTACCGCCCCTGCTGCGTGATAGCAAGCGAGTTGACCCAGTCCGTGTGTCCCGTCAGGATGGTGAGGCAGCGGTGGTCCGGCACGCTCCACAGGCGGATGGTTTTGTCGCCAGAGGCAGAGGCAAGGATGTCACCGCGTGGGGTGATGGCCACGGTGTTGATGTAGTTGTTGTGGCCTGTGAGCGTGCCCACGCACATCATGCTGCCGAGGTCCCACAGCTTGATGGTGCAGTCCTCACTGCCGCTCACCATCAGCACCCCAGGGAGGCAAAACCCACCACCTTGCACGCGCGCGGTTGCTGCTGCTGCTGCTCCTGTGGTCGGTGTTGCTGCGCTTGTATTGTTGCCTGATGTATTGCGGTGGTGGCGTGCAAGCTTGCTACTTCTCCTCCGTCGCTTTTTCTTCTTCTTCTTCTTCTTGTTCTTGTTCTTCTTCTTGTTCCTTGTCGAAGTTGCGTCTTCATGCTGCCGTGATGGCATCGGCTGTGCATTCTGCAGCAGATTACTTGTGCTGGTGTCGTTGTTTGTCGTGTTGCTGTTGCTGACGTTGCTGTTGCTGGAGATAAAGTGATTACCCTCTGCAATACCAGGCTCACCGTCCCCAGCAGCCTCGGCACCCTCCAAGTCGTCGTCGTCGTCATTCTCATCTGTGTCCTCTTCGTCGTCACTCGCATCGCTGTCAACACTACTGCTGCCACTGCTGCTGCTCCCATTGCCATCGTCGTCATCATCACATCCACTGTTGCTGGTGTTGTTTGTGCCGGCACCAGCACCACTGCGCAGCAGCATGCTCTGCTCAAGGGACTGGTTGAAGAACAGCTTCGCTGCTGTGGGATCAAGGGTTGCGCCCGTGGATGCCGCCGCCACGTTTAAGCCCGGGTGCATGGGCATACCAGTGGCACCACGCTCGGTACTTTCGTCGGTGTCGTGGTCTGTGGATTTGATGGCGTGAAGCAGCACGCAGCGCACGCCGCCACGGTGGCCCTGCAAAGTGGCTTCACAGTGGTGGTACTTCATGTTCCACAGCTTGATGGTGCGGTCCTTGCTTGCGCTGGCCACATGGTTGCCGTCCTCGGAGATGGTGACAGCATACACCTTGCCCGTGTGGCCTGTGAGGGTTGCCTTGAGGTCGCTGATGACGGTCTGTCGCGTTCGCCGCGCTCGTGACAGCAGCCGGGTTGGGAGACCCCGTCGCTTTCGTCGTCGCGGGCCCGGTGTCGCCGAGGAGGGGCCAGCTGTCGCTGAGCCCTGCTCCTGCTGCTGCTGCTGTGAATGTGCTTGGGAGCGGCGTTCCTGTGACTGGTGAGCATCGTTGTTGTTGGTGTTGCTGCTGTTGCTGTTGCTGGTGGCCAAGGTTTCGTCACTGACGCTGACGCAGGGGTCTGTGACGGGCGCCATGGTGGTGGAGAGGATGGACGGCGTGAGCCCCCAGATCTTGACGGTGTTGTCGAAGGACCCTGAGACGAGGCGTCGGCCGTCGTCCGACACGTCCAGGGCGCGCACGCAACCGGAGTGCCCAACAAGCGTGCCGACGCACTGGTGCGTCTCTGGGTTCCATGCCTTGATGGTGCCGTCTGCGCTGGCCGTGAACACGCACCACCGGCTGACGGCGAGTGCGCGAATGGAGTCGGCGTGGCCGTCGCCATCACCCGCAATGGTGCCGCTGTTCAAAGGGATGTGTGGGCCCCCTTGTGTACTGGCGTCATCGTCGCCATTGCTCCCGGCACCATCCTCATCATCATCCCAGTCTGCGTCGCCAGCGATGCGCGGTGTTGTCACTGCCACTGCCCCATCTTCCTGCTCTTCCTGCCCTCCCGGGGATATCCGCGTTCGAAACAACCTCATCACATGCGTCTGCGTGCGTGAGAGCGGGGTGGAGGGAGAGGGCAAGAAGGAGCTGGCGAGCAAGGAGGGTGTGTGCGCTGCTGCTGCTGCTGCTGCTGCTGTGAGCTGATGAGGCTGGAAGAAGAAGGGTGTAGATATGAGAAGGTGTTGGTGTGCGAGGGTGTTGGTGCAGTTGTTGGTGCGGTTGGCAACAAACAGCAGCAAAATGCGTGCGATTTTGGACAATTCACTGTGACACCAGTGAATATTCGACTAGGCCGCAACGGTGATGACCGCCATGACACAGGACAGCAACCGTGCTGCTGGTGTTGCTGGCGCTGGTGGTGGTGGTGGTGGTGCGGGAATGAGTGACCGCGTGCGGGTGGATGTGTTGTTGCGGTTTCGCTTTGCGTTGATTGCCTGTCAATGCATCATCGCCATTGCCCTTACTCAGCGCAAGGTCAGCTGGATGTGTATATGTATGTGTATCTGTGTCAGTGTGTAAGTGTGTGTGTGTTTGTGTGTGCGAGAGTGAGTGAGAGAGTGTGTGTTTGTGTGCTTACGTGCACATGTGTGTGTGTTGATGTATGTACATTTGCGTCTGTGTGCCTGTACGCCTGCCTGCCCTGCTTGTGTGCCTGCCACCGTCCTTGTCTGTGTACCCACCAATGCCTTTGCTTTCCTTGATGCGCACTTGTACACACCCTTCACAACCCTGCCGACACTCAACTCTCCTTGCCACTGTGTGTGAATGTGTGTGCGTGTGTTTTGTTTTGGTTCAGGAGGAACATTTGCTGAAACACCTGCCATTGGATGACTTGGACTCTCCTCTGCACCATCGCACGTCAGCCACGCATGCTTGCCGCTTCCCTCCATCCAATGCCTGGTTGTCTTGCCGCTGACATAGGTGCTCATCTTGCTGCCAATCTCTCATGGGTTACCCCTTGCTGCTAATCTTGCTAAGCTTACTGTGATTTGTTGTTGTTGTTGTTGTTGTTGTTGTTGTTGTTGTTGTTGTTGTTGTTGTTGTTGTTGTTGTTGTTGTTGTTGTTGTTGTTGTTGTTGTTGCTGTTGTTGTTGTTGTTGTTGTTGTTGTTGTTGCTGCTGCTGCTGCTTTCACGCGGCACGTGTGATGCGACAGATATGACGGCTATGTGTGGACGCTGCTTCTGTGCAACCTCGCAGAGTTTCTTCTCTTCTTCTTTGGTTATTCCATGTTCTCCCAGGGCTGCAGCTTGTTTTGTGAGTTTGTTTGTGGTTGTATGTGTGTGTGAGTAAGTTTGGTTGTGTGTGGTTGTGTGTTTGCTTCTGTGTTGGTGCGCGTGCATCGGTCGTCCACCTGTCCGGTTGTTTTTTTTTCCGTTGATCTGCGCATCTGCTTTGATGTTGTGATATGTGTTGTCTTGCATGCGGTGGAAGTCAGAACACACACACACTCACACACTCACACACACACACACACACACACACACGCACACACACACACACACAACACACACACATGCACACACACAAACACGCCGTTGTCTTTCTCCTCCACTCCCATGTTCACTGCCCTCCATGTGCCTGCTTGTTTGCAGCCATTGTGACGCACGCCGGCGGCGTGTTTTTCCTCGCGTTTTTCTACGCCGAACAGCTGTTTTACCCTTCGCTGCTGTTTGTGATCCTCTTCTCGTGGTGAGTCGTTTTGAACGCGAATGTTGAGTGATGAACGTATGAATGCGATGTCCATGGTGCTTGTGTTGCTTGCTGGCACAGTTTTGTGCAAAGACTCCCACACATCCACACAGTGCGTGCATGTGCTGACACAAACACGCACAAGTGTTCACATGTGCTTATCCACCCTCACAGATGCTCGCAACCCACACACACACGCGCGCGCACGCACACACACACACACACACACGCACACACACACATGCACAACTCGCTCCTGCAGTGGCCCTCCGCTGTTGGTGAGCACGTGGCACTTTCTCCGCCCTGCACCGTACTTGTGATACATGTACGCGCGCGTGTGTGTGATCTCGAGAGCATGCGTGGGATCACATCACTGATGTTGACGTGATGTTGCTGCGGCACCACGTGGGCGTGTGTGGATGGGATGGGATGCAAAGTGGTATTATTTTTTTCGCTCTTGTTGCAACACGACGATGACATGATCTTGTTTCAGTACGTGCTGTGATGGCTCTTGCGGTCGGTGGCTTGTGCGTGCGTGCTGCTTCCCGCGCAAGCGTGGTTGCTCGCGTGTATATAGTTGACAATTAAACGACGTATTAAAAGATTCAAAGCACAAAAGGAGAAAGCAACGCAAGCAAGCAACCGTCGCCAGCAAGAAGTCAGCTACACTCCTGCGAAAACACACACACACACACATGTACGCACACGTATACACATGTACACACACGTACACACACACACATGAACGCACATGCACACACATGAACGCACACATGAACGCACATGTAAACACACAAGTGGTGCTATGCGTGGCCAGCCTTGACGACGCGCCAGGGCGCCTTGCCAGGGGTAAACTCGTCAATCATGGTATTGGCATCGACGGAGAGCACGCGTCGCACGTGTTCAAAGCTGCTCACATCGTGGTCCAGCGTGCTCCACGTCCGTCCAAGCGCAGCCCACGTGGCCGGCGCCTCCGCCCAGTCCTGTCCCTGCTGTTGTTGCTGTGCTTGCTGTTGCTGTGCTTGCTGTTGCTGTGCTTGCTGTTGCTGTGGTTGTTGCTGTGTTTGTTGCTGTGTTTGTTGTTGTGACTGGGCTTGCTGTGTTTGGCGCGTTTTGCCGCGCGCAGCTTTGCTCCTTGCAGCAGCCGCAACCTGACAAGGCAAGCAAAACAAGACAGAACATGTGCAGGTGGATACACGTAAGTTGGACAAGGAAACAAATTCGCACCCACAGTGAATAACCAGCGAACAATGGATGATGCATACGCGCGCAGTTGTACATGACGACACCTGCACAGAGACAGACACAGACAGACAAGAGGGGAGGCGATGCACACAGACATACAGATGTACACACATACACACACATGCACACAAATGTAAACACGCACACGGATACACGCTGCACAAACAAACACACGCGCACGCATGCGCGCAGTACCTCAGGAGGTGTGGAGTGATCGGATCGGGGCGGCGTGAGGACGTACTGGTCCAGTAGCTGGCAAGCGTCCGCGTTGCTGGCGGCATTGACGGCACGCCGCACCCACGAGGACCGGAAAACGGTCAACTGGTCAGTCTTGTAATCCTCCGTCTCAAACAACCTATGGGAATGAGCACGCAAACAGCATTTGTGAATTGTGAGCGGTGGTGGTGGGAGGGGGTTCCTTCCTCATGTAAGCAGCACATGCATGTGCAGCCAGCTTGCACATCATGTCATGAATGCAGCCCACACGTGTACCTGACACGCGTGGATGTATGTGTGGAAGCAACTCCAAACGCACGCACACACGCACAGAAAACGTCCCTCATACTTCCTCACACACACACACACACACACACACACACACACACACATGACAATGACGACTCACGGCGCGGTGTCATCGTGGTCCGCATCATCACTGAAGACAAAGTCGGCGCAGTCCACGGGCACCAGGACGCCATCGTGCTTCTCTGTCCCACGCACAAAAGGACCAACAGATGTACGTACAACAGTCACGGGTGGTGTCAGTGGAGATGGGCAGTTGCAGCGTGGCGTAGTTGTTTCGCGCCAAACTGTGCTCGCCACCAAAAGAACAATGATCATGACTCAAACGCGGAATCGCCAAAGCAGCGCACGAGAAGCAAGCAAACAAGAAAAAAACAGCAGCAAACGCAGGCCGAACGCACTCCACAGCTCGACAATGGCCTCCGGACACGAGGTAGAGAACCACGCCGTGTGGAACGAGAACAGCATCGTCCAGTGTATCTGTGGTGGTGGTGTGCGAGGGGCAACAATTAATGTGCAGTGGTGTGTGTTGTCGTGGTGGTTCGCCTCTCTGCCGTCGTGCTTCGCTTCTGCAACTGTCTGTGTCGCGCCCAATGGTGTATGACTGACTTCAGTGCTACCAACACAGCGAATGTCTTTCACAGAATATCGGCTAGGTCGTCGTGTCCCGCTTCTGCCGCGACTTTTTCAAAAAACAATTGACCCAACCCGACCGGTGCTTGTGTGCCGCGAGAAATTTGACCAGCAGCGAAGAATAACGAACAAAAGAAAAAAATTTTGCTTCGCCTTTCTTCACACACACACCTCAACGCCAGTGCAGCACAAACAAACGCAGCAGAAGGGTGCGTGAAGCAGTGCGGAAGGGTGCTGTTGTTGTTGGGTGTTGGGTGGCGGGTTGGTGTGGAGTCGAGCCCGCAACGACCGGCAAGAAGGCAGGAGTGGGGAATCAACAAATCGGTGTTCGTTGGTTGGTTGGTTGGTGGGTGGCGAAGGTCGGGCGGCTCGCTTGCTTTGCTATGATGATGATGATGATGATGACATACACACGGACATGTACACGCATGCATACATCTGACACGGTTCTTGCGCCCGCCCAAACACATTCGCAGGTTCTTTCGTGAGTGGCTGCTTCGACGAACGAACTTGGGCCTGCGGTTGGCTTTTGGTTGCTTTGCTTGGCTTGCATCCGTTTGGGAGGTGTGAACTTTCCCTGCCCACCCAAACGCAACCCCGTCATCGTCCTCACTCGCTCGTGCCCATCGTCAGGCAGCACGTCAGGTCAGGGTGTTCCGAAGTCAATCGACTGGCCCGCACTGTGTGTGTGTGTGTGTGTGTGTGTTGTGTTTCCCACCACCAATTCCCAACCAGCCAACCGACAGCACACACGCACGCACGCAACCTTGCACGCGCTCACCGGTGGTGCTCGAGTAACACCTGCCTGTGCATGCGTGGGAGGGTGTGACTCTGGTCGGTCGATAGGTGGTGGTGACACACTTTTCGCACAGCACATCCTTTGCCGCCCTTTTTTTCAATTCCTTGTTTACCTTCACCTCCACATCCTCGACACCACTACCACACACCACTCGCCACACGAATCATCGCATTCACCATCACAACGATCACCGAGAACCGCCTGACTCACCCCGTCACTGCTCTCTCTCTCTCTCTCTCGTTCTCTATTTCGCTTCCTTCCTTTTTGGCCCGGTATTCTTGCTCCCGTTCTCTTCCCGGTGTCAACGATGAACAGCAGGGACGAGTGTCGGGAGTGGCAACACCATCATCGCCGCAAGCACCTTCGCCACCGCCTCTTGCGCCGCTCAAGCCATCGCTTATCTCAAGCACCACCATCGCCGCCGCCACAGCAGCTTCTCCAGGCAAAGCGGGTGGAGCTATTGGGGAAACAACGCTGCTCCTCCCCTTCGACGCGGACCATGGCCTCACGGACGCCCTTCTCCGACACCACCAACAACTCCAACAGCACAACAGCCCTCGACCCAAAGCACAACAACCACGCTCGCCAACTACCCCACCAAGATGACGGTGCGGTAAACACGTCCCCAACACTTACCATTCGACAAAGGAGAGGCAGCAGGTCTGCCGGTGACCATGTGCAGGGATGCACGTCCCCGTTTCATAACCAACACCAACACCATCCACTCTCGCTGCCACGCTCAACGACAATCACGCCGCCCTCTGGCCACGCGGCACCGACCACGCCAACCACGCCGGCACAACCCAGATTGTCATCATCGTCATCAGTGGCGGGGACGCAGCCGCTGAATAAGACGCCCACGTCGACCGGTGGAAAGTATCCAAAGACGCACCGCCGCTTCTTCAACGCCCGCACGCGCTCTTCTCCGCTCATGCCCTCACACCACCCGGCCGACCACGTCCTCGGTCGGTAGGGTGTGTGTGTGTGTGTGTGTGTGTGTGCGTCTGTCTATGTGTGTGTGCATGTGCGTACGTCTGTCTGTCTGTGTGCATTTGTGTATTCACATGCATAGCCCCCCCCCCCCCCTCACTCGCTCTTTTGCTTGATGAAGTCGCGTGCATGCGTGCACGCATACGAGTCTTCTGTTTCTCTTCGCCACCCAATTCCTTGTTCACCGCCAAACACGCAACGCCCAACACCTTGCCGCGTGTTTTCAGGCAAGATCCGGTCATCGGCGCCGAGTGCGCGCGAGAGCATCAGCGACGAGATTACGCGCTTCACCCTCGTGAGCGAAGACGTGTCCGACATGCTTTGCGGCGGGGGCGGTGAATCAGACGACCACGTGTCAACCTTCTCTCCCGCGAGCGATGGCACCTTCACCGCTCCCCTCCCCTCTCCGCTCCCCATCGACAACGCCAACACCGCCGCCAACACTGTGCACACGGGTGGGCACGACGAACAGGACATGGATCAACGCCCCGATCAGGGCAACAACACCAACACCAACACCGGCATCAGCATCGGCCGTGACGGTGCGGAGGGTGTGGGTGGCGAGGTGATGCGTGGGCATGAAACCGCCTCGTGTCATGACGACGGCATGCCTGAGCCCACAATCAGTGGCCGCAGCAGCAGAAACAGCAGGCGGCGCCACAGCCAGCAGCAGCGCTTGCCCATGACGCCCGTGAGCATGATGCAGACGCTCGCCATGAACACCCCATCGCCATCACCGCGCCGCGCTCACAACCACGATCACAACCACAACAACCAGCACCAGCACCAGCACCAGCACCCGCAGCCGCAGTACGACCATCACAGCCAGCGGGTGTTTCGCTTCTCGCCCTCGCTGCCTGAGAGCGGTCCGCCCTCAGCCCCGCCCTCTCGCCCCCACTCTAGTCTTGCTGGCACCACCAGCAACAACAGTGGTGGTGGTGGTGGTGGTGGTATGACCATGCATGAGCCACCCACCTCGTTCACGGCGCTCTCGTCTTCAGCGTCGTCGCCGGCTGTACCGGGGACATCAGCGGCAACCACACACACATCCTCGTCGTCTTCGTCGTCGGCGTTTATGTCCATGCGCACACGTGCGCGTCTGTCCGTGTCGCTGAACAACGTTGCACGCACGAATGCATCTTCATCTTCATCATCATCATCAGCAGCAGCAGCAGCAGCAGCATCTTTGGGGTTTGGTGTGAACACCAACGCCTCCTCTGGCGTGACGTCGACGTGCACCACGCCAACATCATCTGCCCCGCTCTCCGCGCGGTCGTGTGGCGCGCTGCTGCAGAAACAGCCGGTTGCCTTCACCTTTGATGGCGACAGCCAGCCGTCCTCCACCACCCACTCATCCCCAGTGAAGCTCACGCAGCAGCCCGCGTTTACGTTTGACCACCACGCGCCGTTTTCTTCGTCGTCGGCGTCGTCGCTGTCCGTGTCGTCGTCGTTGTCGTCTTCGCTCACGTCTGTCGTGACGCATGCACCACGTGGCATGCCCGCACGTCCTGCTGCTGCACAGGGCACGGCGGCGCCCACAGCGGCCCAGTCCCAGCGCAGAGCCGCCAACCACACCACTGACGACGCGGGCGTGGAGGGCGAGCGAGATGGAAACGCCGCGGCACCTGTTGCAGATGCGCGCCCGTGCCTGTCACACCCTGCACCAATGTGCGCCCTTCAACCCCGCACCGCCAGCAACGATGGTAACAACGACAACGCTGACACCGGCAGCAGTCGCAGTGGAAGCTGCTGTCGCCACTCTGATGATGCTGATGGTGGTGTGGGTGAGCGTGCACGCGCGTACAGCGGAAGCGAGATCCAGCAGGGGATGACACGTCGGCCGCCACACAAGCTGCGTCGCTCACGCAGCGAAAACTGTAAGGTGCGCCGTCGCCTCACGGCCCTTGCGGCGCCTGTGCCTGCAGGCAACCATGACATCACCCAAGGTGATGCGGGCCGCAACACAGACAACGACAGCGGTCCCCGGTACCAGCGCCACCAACAACAGCAACAACAGATGGGCGTGGCGGCGCTGGACGCCGATGAACACCACCAAATGCATGCAGGCACGGCAGTGATTGCAAACGATTACACGCGTGAGGACGATGGCCAGTGCAAGCGCGGCGGTCTTGGGCAGCCAGGCCGCAGCCGCAGCCGCAGTGGTAGCGGTAATGGTAGCCGTGGGCGCGGGAGCGTATCGCAGAAGCGAAAATCAGCCACGCTTGATCGTGGGCTGCTGATGCAGCGCTCATATCGACAGGTGGTGCGTGATGGCGTGCGTAGTCGACAACTGGAGCAACTGCAGCAACTCCAGCAACGAGAGGTGGGCAAGCAGCAGGTTGGTGTGTGCTCGCCTGACAGCGCGATTGTGAGCCACCACGGCTCCCTCTCGAACGACAGCGGGCTGGATGAGCTGGATGACACGACGCTACTCAAGGCATCGAAGAAATGCGATTATCGGAACACACCCGCACGCATGTCCCATCGCCCGCCCTCCTTGTCGTCGTCGCTGCCTTCGCTGTCGTCCTTGTCGACCCCAACGAGCAGTAGCACCACCATCAACGACGCCGAGAACAACACCACCACCAATAACAACACCACCACCAATAACAACAGCAGCAGCAGCAGCAGCAGCAGCAGCAGCAGCAGCAGCAGCAGCAGCAGTGGCAGCAGCAGCAGCAGTGGCAGCAGCAGGAAGAGCGGCAAGGCAGAGCTGTTTCAGCGGCGTGGCGTGTTTCGCTCCTCGCCTCAGCGGTCTGCGTCCTTCTCCTCGTTTTCGTCTGGCGTGTTTTCGCGCGCGTCGTCGTCGTCACTCTTCACGCCGCCCGCAACCGCCCACGCATCGGACGCAGACACAAAGGACAGCAGCACCAGCGACAGCGCCAGCACCACGTCTGTGTTTTCGCCGACCTCTGCCCAGTCGCTCAAGGCATTTGTGTGGCCGAAGCGCCTGCAGACAACCAAGGAACACCACGCAGACACGCGGGATGCTTCCACTCTCACCACCAATGACACCAGCGAAACAGGGGAAGGCACCAACAACAACAACAACAACAACAACAACAACAACAACAACAACAACAACAACAACGTCAACAACAACAACAACAACACCAACAACAACAACAACAACAACAACAACAACAACACCGCGGGCAGTGACCGAAACAGCTGCGACATCAACAGCAACAACAGCACTGCCGGTTCAGCAGAGGTGGATGAGCAGGCGGTGTGCGTGCTTGTGCGCTCCCCTTCACCCATTCCCACACGCACATGTGAGGAGGATGAGGATGAAGAGGAAGAATGCGAAAAGCGAAATGAGGACACGGCAGCCGCAACAGCACATCCGCAAGGGGAGTTGTTGGGCGGTGTTGGCATTGTTGTCGAGGAGGAACAGGAACACCGAGATGGTGACATTGCACATGAGGATTGTGGTGTCAATGGTGATCGCCGCGGCGGCGGCATTGCAACTGCGCCCATGTCACCGGTCGACGAAGCCGACGAGGAGCAGTGTGGAGACCACAGCTTTGGCAGCATGGGTGCGCAAGTCCTTGGTGCTGACGCTGGTGCGTCGCGTGGGGATGATGTGGCTGCTCACGCATCCTCCATGGCCACGCCCCCAGACTTGTTTGGGCTCCACGGGCGCCAGCAGCACCAGCAGCAACACCAAGGGCATCTGGATGTGACGAACCAGAGCCTGAACGAGTCGTGCATGAGTGCAAACGCGAGCTTCCTTGGATTTGGTGGACCAAACTCCGCACACAGAGGCAGCGGCCATCGGGACGGCGGCAGCGGCAAAGGTGCTGTTGGTGTTGGTGTTGGTGTTGGTGGTGATGATCGTGGGCGGTGTCGCGGGAAAGCGCCGCCGCTGTTTGCACCCACGCTGGCTGCTGCCATTGAACAGAGTCCGGGCTGCGGTGTGGCTGATGGCGCAAGCGATGTCCACACCACAAGCCATGACAACAGCACCAGTTCCATCAGCCATGCGATGATGATGGCGGTTGCAGCAGCGAAAGAGCCGGCAGCGTCGCCGACATCATCCTCAACGCCACTGTCGTCGTCGCTACTGACACGGAGCCGGTCGCTGTCTGGTCCGTGCCAACGAAGTGGCGCCTTTACTGTCACGCGGCCCGGGATGCTGCCGTCACTACAGGTGTTGCGCCACAGCGGCAACCATGACAGCAGCAGCAGCAGCAGCAACAGTGGCACTAGCGATGGCAGTGTCGGTGGTGTCGGTAAAGGTGTTCATGCGCAACAGCAGGAAGGGGCTGGGGAGGTGGTTCGCGGCAGACGAGAGGAGGTGACGAGCGCACAGGCGATGGCGGAGAGTCGTGAGGAGAAGGAGCAGGAGGAGGAGCGAGATGTGGACGCACGGGCAT